TTTTGAAATTCCAATTGAAATTGGTGTTGATAGACTTTGTTAGTTCATTCAAAGTGAGGCAGAAAAAAGCAGGACCTAGAGGATCGTCTTGTTGAACCCCTCTCTGAGATAAGATAAGAAGTATTTTTTCCGAAATTCAAAAATGTTGAAATTCGATAACATTGGTTTATTAAAGAAGCAAGGCAAGGAATAATTCCGTAGGTTTTTCGCAAAATGAAGTTTCTATGAATGATGTTGAAGGCGTTTTTATAATCTAGTTATCTAGTTTATCATGCTATCAAAGAAGCACCGTACAAAATAGAAGAAATATCGGGATTCAGTCGACCGCTTAACGAAAAGCTACACAAGGAAGTCGAAGAAGATAAAAGCTTTTCATCTTCACATCCAGAACTTTTTGATATCAAGTCTTGTAGATAGGAAGGTCTGAGGGAGTCTATTTCTCCTGCTGAACCTGTGCGAAATGATAGGATTGCTTTCAAGACTTGTTTATCGTCAATTTAAAGTGTAGTACAGTTTGTGTCACGTATTGGTTTTTGACAGACGTCTGCCGATTGTTTAGCTTGAAATTCAGTTAACGTAAAATCATCAAAATCTACAGAACTGTCTGTTGAAGTCAAAATACGGATTGCCGTAGTAAGATCGCCATCTGAAACTTTATTCAATACAGATTTTATAAAATTTGTTTTCTTTTAAGATCGAATTTTGGATTTGTGGGTAAACCTATCTAGACAGGTATTGAAAATGTTATTCTTGGTGAGTGAAGGGAGAGGCTTCTCACGATTTTCTTTATGTGATGGAAGACAAAAGCATATGTAAGCAAAATAAAGTAAATATTTCCGGTGATCTAACGAATTGCTCTGAATGCATTCATCAATACCTTTGCTCGAAGCTTCAGCGGCACACATTTTTGCTCCTTTGGGAATTGTCTTCAATATGTGAGAATGGGGTTTGAGACAATATATCATTGATAGCTTTGGTAGAACTTCCATCAGATTTGGATTCAATATTCGGACTCGATGTACAGGTTTGGATGGAAGAAGAAAACGTTGTCGACTCAGATTTATGAATTTTTGAACAGTGGTTTCTCAAAACTTTCTGTAGTTTTGAATTTCTTATAGTAAGATTGATATAACGTATATTTGATACTTGCATCGTGTTAAGTTAAGTTAAGATAGTTTCTCTGTAGAGGGTTCTTTCGTTTGATGTGGTTTCTTGATCTGCACATCATGACTGCTGGATAAACGATACTTTTCATCTATGATATTTCTATTCTGGAAATTTTTCTCCACAGCAGGCCGTAGAGTTTCAGGTGTAGTGCATTGCAGTTTTATTGCATCACCGTTCTCTATCCGATGTTCAGCACATTTCTTCAATGATTTTGATAGCATCAGTGAATCTCTCACAAAAGATGTGTCATGTTTGGTGATAGGGATTTGCATTTTTGACTATCGATAGAAAAATAGAGAAACACGGACTCAGCGATCGGAGAAAAATCAGTTTTTAACGGAGTGCAAAAAACTCGACAAGTCACTTTGAGATTGAGAACTAAATAATATTTTTCGCATTTTCACGTGAATTCAAATTTCATTTGACTCCTTTCTATAAATGCTTTCGTTTCTCTAAATATCCCATTCTCATTAGGAAGAGTCAATTGTTCAGGATGCGTTATTTCCATTTTTTGTTCAGTCAAACAACAAAAAAAGCTGTAACAACATTTCTCATTTCAATTAACGAGAGAAATAAGTGAATAGCCTTCTGAAGAACTTTTGCGTTATTCGTTGTTTCCTAATTAACTAATTGCCTCGTTAAAATTGCACGCATACTTGAGCAAATTCACCAGATATTTTTTCAGCATAAATAAACCATTTTTCAATAAATTGATGGATGTAGCCATTACTATGTGGTAGGAGATCATGATGAAAAGAGAAATGAAAATTTCTATGTTTTTTACTACTTTATTACCAGTTTATTGTTTAAGTTTGAAAATGTCCATATAGGACGAAACTGCAGTAACGTTAGTTACAAATAAAAGTGGTAAAAACATAGAAACCCTTTTTATTCTTGCTTATAACTATATTTTTCATACGGTTGATGTACGGATGAATATCTTTGGATATTTGGTGAGTGTATGAAAGAATGATCCATTATCAATTTCGAGTTTTAGATTTTTTATGAATTCCCATGGTTTCCAGATTTTGGTTTATCAACGACATTCAAGAAATATCTAACTGGAATCATTCCACATTCGAGCAATATGCATTTCGTTCGAAGGTCTTGAAGGACACTTACCAATTGGAGGGAGCTGTGTCCAATCTCATTGGGGAAAAACTCATTCCCATCGAACGTATCTTAAATAATATTAATTTGTATATTTCGCAGTAACCAGTAACCAGATCAACGTTGGAGATCAGTAGAATCCAGTTGGAATGACATTCTCATTGAGTGACTGAAAATAGCATTGACGAATGGTCTAGAAGTAATAGTTCTTAGCCATTCTTTGAAAAAAAAAATGTGATGACCACACCTCTCATGATAGGTGAAATCATCGCAAATGTGTTATCAGTGGTAATAGAATGACTAACGAATGCCAACTGTGGAATTCATGAATATAAATGATGAAGAAGGCTCCTCAAAGGTGGCATGTTGTAAAGTCAAGCTTCAACATGGATCGACGACTGAGATTCGTCTTTTGTCTTTCTCTGCAGCTTTCAATCCTAGGCATGTAATAATTTTAAGTGTTTGGCCTAGTGGTTACCGATTGGCACCACCAACGTCACTCCTCTGAAACGATCTGGGTCTTTTTGAACGAAATATACAAAGTGGCTCTCGAACTGTTGAGTTTGTCAATAAGAGGGACAAGTTTTGACTCAAAAATAAACAACAAACACTTTATTGTAATATTTTCACTAAACTGTTCTACACAACTGTTTTTTGTGAAACAGTTCAGTAAAAATCTCACGACTAAGTGTTTCTTGACTAAGTTATGGATTTTCATCAAGTATCGGCCGATTCCATCACATATTAATAATCACAGCCAAACATCCAGTTCATTTGAAATTTTATAAAATTGCTAATTGAGATCAATGGTCAAAAAGCTCGAAAAGTGGGTGTCCCACGATTTGAACGATCGACAGGATTTGTCAGGTTTTTTTGCTTCTGCACAACCGAAACCATACTTTTCAGATCAGATCGTAACGTTTGATCAAAAGTGGATCTCCTGCAACAACAGGAGATATTTAGGACAGTGGAAAAGGCGAAAACTCAAAAAAAAACCATGGTTACTATATGGTGATCAGTGGCTGGTGTGATTCACTATAACTATTTGCAACCGGACCAAACCATCACAGTAGGGTGCTATTGTATGGAAATCGATAAAATGTACCGATAATTGCATCAGCAGCAGCCAGCACTGGTCAACAGAAGAGGTCCAATCCTGCTCCACGACAACGCCCTTTCGCATATCACGATCCGAAAATTAAACGATCGTCGATGTTTTGCCTCACCCTTATTACTACCCAGACCCCTCGCTAGCCGACTCCCACCTTCTCAAGATAATTTTTCAATCGACTTCTGTTACGTTGGCACAAGTGCACTTGTTTAAAGGCCCTCATTTAGATCAAATTAAATTAGTATTTGCTGAGATATCACAGTTCAAAATAGACCCATCAAAAAGAACAAAACTTTTGAAAAAACTTTATGTACCAGTGAAATTCACCTACGTATCTATTGATGATTGGGAAAAGTTGAAAATAATTTGTCCTGAGAAAAGTTGAAGAGAGTTTTCAATTTTGGGACGAATCTTTTGATGATTCAAATATAACTCCTTCTATTACTACTCATCGACGGATATATTAATATTGGGTTCATCTCTAATTTGTTGATGATAAATGATTGAACTCACCGCAAAGTTTAAATGAACATCTCGATGAATAGATTCACTTGTATTCGAAAACGAAACGAAATTTAGAGCAATACATATTTTTCAACTTTATTTAGGTCATATTTCGAGATGGAAATGTTATAGTATTTGGAAATTCAAACCAGACCATCTTCCATCTCATCATTTTTCACGTCATAAAGTCATCTCATTTCAATAATGTCACTCTCACTCTGAAATCAACTTCTGAAATGATCCGGATTCTTCATAAACTAGGTCAAATTTTTCTACAATATTGCAAATTAATATCTTCATAAATAGGTTTTTTCCATAGTTATATTTATGTATTGATGAATATTGAAGAGGATTGACATTTACCTTCTCCTTTATATATTAATAGCAATGAAAGTAAGCATTATTTCACGAAATAACCTTTTTTTTAAATTTTTATTTTCCTGAGCACAATCAACTCTCTTGTTAAACTCAAATTGTTACCGTCCACAATAAAGAAAAAATTAAAATTTCTAGTTCATCTCGATAAGTTTTTAGATAAATCCAATATACTTCACTCTAGAAAAAATAACCTTTTTATGAAATAATTTGTCGTATTTATCAATCTTCTGGAAATCACAATCTAGTCTATTTTGAATTGTGCCTTTTCTACACCCGCAGTTTTTTTATTTTTTTATATTTCGAATTGTAAGTTTTTTTAAATTCGGCGAGAAAACTGATGAAAAATTACTTTCGCTTGACAACAAATGATTTCTTTTCGCATTCAAACTATCGAAATTTAAAATTATTATTCGAGTTTGTGCACGACATATTTTGTCAATGAAAATTTTATATTTTCCGTGATCTTTGAGCACATAGAGATCACCTCACAAACAAGTTCCCAAAACACACAATTCACTATCCATAACCATAACTCAAATTATTTACTAGTCCATTCATGAACAGATAATCCGAAAAAATGTCAGCTGCAGTGGGAACAAATTTCACTGTCTAAGGCAGTATCCTTCTTTCACGGTTACAGAAGACCAAATGAAATATTCGTGCACTCCTTGTGAAGAATAGTAAACTCAACTGAAGAGATACTATTAACCCTAATTCTCGGGCTTGAACTGGTCCATTTGACATACTTGCGGTATGGTGTGTGCGGATCATATAAAAAGTTAGTCTTTGGTAGGACATCCCATTCGATTCGCAACTTCGGGCATGTTTCTTCTGTTTTGAAGAAGCATTGAAAAAAATTAAAAGTACCTTCAATTGTTTCTTCAAAGTTGGTGAAAATTATTGTGACAATGGACTTCAAAGTGTTCTGTGTTGTGTTTGCTGGCTGTTTTTTGTTCGAGTTGATCCATGCTGGACCCATGGTCGATGATAAAAAAGGACACATCAATTCGGTAAGGCCCTTTGGACGAGTTATCGTCATCACCAATCATATTTTATTCTCAAATTGAGTTCGAAAATTTTTGCAAAAAAGTTTATGTTAGATTTGAAGCAAGAAAACTTTTTTCTTCGAACTGAATATTTTGCTAAACAAACCTATCAAAAACAGATATTTTTCAATGTTGTTCAATGAATCATCGTTGAAAATTGTCATGAATATCTTATCAAATCTTATTCAATATGTGTATAACAAAACGTGAATAAGGAATATTTTGTTATATTTGACATAAATTGATAAAACTCTTCATTAAAAACATAAAAATCGACAATACCAACATATCTCACTGAAATCCGTAATCTTTAAATATGCAAAGAATGAGAATGAAACAGAAAACATCACCAATCATATGCATATATTTTTCTTTTTTTTTGTACACGCCTGAACAAGCATTACTAATTGAGACTAATTGCGAATCATTATATATGAGCTGATTTGTAATTGATCATAATCATACAATTGAATAATTTATATCCATAAGAAATCTCTTCGAACACCAGTTAATCATTTTATCATGAAACCAGTCAGATATTTTGATGTTTTATCAACTATAAAGGGGATTTATTTAATTATTGATCTAAATTCAACGAATGAAATTATTTAGATCGAACCTCACTTGATTTTATATATTTTCTCGTTTATACAACTGATATGATCATAGGTAATTGTGAATTGGGATGTGAATATCATGAGATCTTATGTTATCTGATCGTTGAAGAGTTTATTAACCGTCTACAAAACAGTTTCTGAAACCGAGTGTGAAAATCTGTTTCATGTTTGTAGAGTTGAAATTTCATACATACTACTTCAACAGTAATTTGTATGTGCAATGATTCTGACTGAAATTTCGTTACAGTTTCAAATCATGTTATTTCAAGATTTAGCAGTTAACAATTGAAATTTTGGTGTTTTTTGATGCTTTGTAAGTAAATATCATTTAATGAAAATTATGAATTCATTTTTTGGAAAATATTACATTGTTCAAATTAAAAGGTTATATTTTTAAGAGATATTGATTTTTGAAGAAAAAATGTTCTACTTCTCCATCTGATACAAAAAATGTGGGAATCTTCCAAAGGAAGGAATGAAGCAATCAATTTCGGAAATCAATATTAAAGATGTGAAGATCATGCAAAGAAGTAACTTCCAGACACAAACATTGTTCCATTTTCACTTTTATGAAAGCTCGCCGGAATTTTATCAAGATAAAAAAATGAAGAAATGAAAACATCGAAGTATTTAAAAAAAAAATAATATGATACCTTTTGTTACTGGTTTTGGTATCTGTTATCCATTTTGGACAAGCTCAAGTAATAATTAAAATCGATAGATTACGGATCGAAAAAACAAAATATTTGTCAATTAGAATAATTATGAATTGAAAAAAATCAATGGTTTCTATGTTCACAACTTTTGGTTGATATCGATACAGAGATCAAAATCTCACAGTAATCAGTAAACAAAAAAATAACACGAGAAAATACAAGAGTATCCGAAATGAAAATTTCTGCAAATTGGGGAAGTGAAAAATGAAATTGAATATCTACTAACAATAATTCATTTTAAAATGCCTTCATTTTCAAATATGAATTTTTGAAATGATGTTATTGATTCAATTCACCTATGAAATTTTCATTTCTGTCAAATCTTTTCTAATCAACTATCAATACTTATCATGTGTTCAAATATTCATTCAAAAATAGAATTTACATATATCAGCAAACTTTTTTCTCAAAACAGAGATATCAAATTCAATCATTACCCAGTTGTTTTTTTGTTTTCTCTTGAAATTATATAAACAAAATGAAATATTTGTTTATTCCAAGCGTTTCATGAACGAATATTGCCGTAATTTATATACTGCTACTACCGAAAGAAATGAAACAAAAATATGGAGAAATAATCCATACATAATTTTTCATTAATTTTTGACGCATAGTAATCAAAGTTATATCTAGCAGAATCATAATCAACATTTCGATTTCGCCTTTTCAATCATTGTTTTTTCTGTTGACAGGTGAATTCTGAAAACCCGACAATTGAAGAGTCCTTACTCAAAAAGCTCAATTCGAAATGCTCCAACCAAGATATCAGTTCTTGTATGATGTTGAAACTTGTCACTTACTTCAACAAGTTGATGAAAAAAGTGAATATCGATTTAGGGGAAGTTGAAATCACCCAAACTTCAACTGAACCCATCAAAGTGGAGAATTCTAGAAGTATAAATGACATCGAAAAAATGTCCGAAGAAGAACAACTGACTGAAGTTTTAACCGAAAAAGCATATGATTTCGTCAAGACAAGATCATTGAAATGGAGAGTGAGTATTAAATCATTCGTGATGGCATAAAAGTTATTCATCAGTTATGGTACAACTTATGGATTATCATTCGATTGAATAGTTTCCAAAAGATACATTTTCACTTCACATTGTTGCTTAAAGTCTTTGTCTTCTCGTTTGATCCAACCTCCAAACTTTTTTGAAATACATAGTTTATGCCATGTATGCGAAAAGTTCTCGTAAAAGTTTGAACGGGAGTTCAAAGTTTCAGAAATGTAAAATGAACTCCCAGTTCAGCCATTTCCGTTACAGAAGTAGTCCACAAGAAAGTATCAGAAAATATTTCAGGTACAATCCACAAAATTAGATTGCAGATGAATTTTTATCAGTGAAAATCTGACTTTCACTCTCAAATCAATGATGGAATTAAATCATCAAAATACAAATAATTGTGAAAAAAGCTTTATGGCTTCCACTTCTCGATCTTTATACAAAGAATTGTGGTAAACTTTCACAGTAAAAAGAAAAACGATCATTTCAAACTCAGTTGCTTTCTTCCATCTGAATCAGCTCAATATATTTGAAATATATTTCACAAATATGCAATCACATTTCAGTAAATTCAATTTTTCAGTTGATATAATTGTGATACCCTGAATTGCTGCAAATTGCAAACAATACTTTTTTTTCATCAAAGAGAGGCTACTATAATGAGCTGTATAATTCGAACGAGTTACCGAAGTTGCCCATTTATGAGTCTTTTGTAGGAATGTTTGATATTGTAGTTCAGAGAGCAAAGTCAAATTATCGAGAATTATTTCAAATTTCACCCTAGATAACTAGTGATAATAGAAAATTTTGTTTTGCAATAGTCCCAAACATAGAATCCAAATGATCGTATATGAGCCTATATGTTGAAGTGGAATTCAAACATTTTCAACTCGGTTGACGTAAACAGTACCAACGAATTCGGACACCAAACATTGTGAAACGTATGAAAACACTCAAATGTTCAACACTCATTGTTCCACAGAGAAAATAAAGCATTGCTCACATATGAAATATACTTCAATAACTATATTTTCATATTTCTAGGACTGTATGAAGTTTGGCTACTGTGAAAAATTATTTTCTCAACATTTCTCATCTCAATGAAATTTAACTAGGTAACTCTTCCAAATACTCAGAATCTGTGATCATATACTCAATGAATCATCTCTGAGGGTTCAGTAGGTCGTTAGAAATAATAATTTTGAATGAAAACAAAAACTGTTCCATAATTAACTGAACATATCATTATTATAATTGAAAATTGCAAAAAGAATACCAAAGAAACTCTTTTTGGGAGTTTCCCATTATTCTGTTGAATAAATATGAAATAGTCCATCTTAATATTTATTTTTCTATATATTATCTGCATGAAGATTCATAATGAGAAAATTGGTGCAGTGCATTCGTCTAAAGTGAAATGATTATTCTATATGTACTTACTGTCAGTGATGTACAAAAACCTGAATTATCATTTTACTTATTTCTCTCATCAAGATATCATTTTTCAAGTCACTATACTTCTCTAAGTAAAAACTGTGGGGAAAGAATCTTGTCGTTTTTTCCATTTTTATTTTCATGATTGAAAAAGTTACGATTCTGAAAATATCATAATAGGAAATATTCCATTGAACAGTTGACTTCGGTCTAAGAATATAAAGCATACACGTTTTTTATATTGATTTGTATAGGACAGCAAGGCTGCTCCATAGTAACATGGATGCTGATCTGTAAATATATTGATGAGCTGAAGTAACTGGTTGATAGAATAGCCTTCCTCCTAGGGGTAATGTCAAATAATGAGGTTGTCGGAACTGGTGATAGATGTATTATTATTCAGACGGACAGAGCGTTCATCAACAATAAAATTTATCAACAACAAAACACGAAAAGGAAAATCATAAGGGAAACCTCTAGGAACTAACGCTAATTCTTTTCTTGATCAGCGAGGAAATTCTAGAGCGGGTTTAGTTCTCGGCGGAAACCCCAGAATAAGAAATAGTTCTCGGCCGAAATCCCAGAACAGAATGAATGCACCGGCTAAGAAATGATTTAGAAGTAACTCTCGAAAAATCATCACTAGCAATGGTAGGGGTCATAAATATAGTCAAGAAGGATCAACCACTTAGCACCGAATTCCTTGTCTCAATCCATAAAAGAGTCAACAATGAGTACCTACCCCAAGTGATGTCGTTCTCAATATTCATCTTTTTTTCGGCAATAAACTTTCGTTTCGAAAGAAGAGAGCATTCCAAAGATATGCGATGAGAAAATATGAAAATGATGAGTAAAATTTGAAATAAAAGAATCAACGTAAAAAACCAAGCAGATGGATATTTTGGACGACTGCTCGATAAAAGAGTACTGAAAAGTTAATGTCCTAACAAAAATTTATAATACAAGATAAAAATCAATAAAGAAATAAAATGTTTCTGAACTGAGTAGTTGTAGGAAAAACCCTTCAATGTGATGAGAAAAACGAGTAACGAAAAAGCTACTGAGTGACCATTAGGTTCATATATGGGCTCCGAATCAGCAGTCAAGATAATGAAAGATTGGTATGTTACCAAATTAGGAAATCAATCACCCAGACAGTATACAGAATGAATATTCCTAGGAGCACTCTAGAGAAAACCTTCATGAAAGCACTGTTTGATTCAATAGATATCTGTTTCAATGGATGGGCTCAGAATAAAAATGAAGCTTCATCTGAAATACACCAGAAAGAGTGAAGAACAGAGACTTCAGTGATAGGTAATGCATCAATGCAACAGAAAGAGTTTGTCTTATATTTCGCGAATGTGAAACATGTGAAGAATTTAACAAACATTCGACTGAGGTCTTGTACAAACCAGAATTGCGAAAAAGTTCGCTGAGATGGATAATTTGTGAAATAGAAAAAATACTGCAATGAACTCAAGGAATTGCAGTTGCTTCTCCGGAGTCCTGAAAAAATAAATAGGCAGCAAACGAATTCTTCGTATTGGATTTACTCTTTCACACAGAAATATGTTTCGATTGTCTATCAGAAAATTGGTTTCCTAGTTGATGATAAGATGTATTTCAATTCACATCCGTTAGATACCCCTTCAAGGAAAATATTCTGGTTCATCCTTGTAGTTGAACTTTGTAAAGAGAAATGTTCTTTGTTACTATATCTTCCCAAATATCAATTTTTCGATATATTGGTATATCCTATATAGGAATAGAAAAATAAGAGAATGGAGAATGAATTCTCTGGGATTAACGAAACAATTTTGCGATATAGAATATGTTGGTGAAAGTGAACAGACTATCAAAGCTCACTTCAAGAATTTTTTTTTACATATTCGGTTACATAGACCACATGAGTCATCGGAATAACTTAGGAATGATTGAAATTGTTAAGAGCGGTGAATGCCTTTCGAAAATTCAAAAATGAAAAAATTAAAATTGAGATCTCTGAATGGTGAAAAAAGGTCCTTTTCCTAACCACAGTTTGTTTGCACTTTTACGTAATTACAGGTAGAAAATAGGTTGATATTAACAGGTAGCAATTGGAATCAGGAAGAATAACAAAATACTTGAAATTGATTAAATGACCCATATTACAAAAGGTAACGATTCTTGAGAATGGTAATATCATGATGATGCCAACTTGGTCAGCGAAACGCATGTTGAAAGACATGTAGGGAAAATTCTTCTCGAAAGATCCTTCTCTACTGTAAACTGAATTGCTTACGTATCACAATTGCATTAATTTCAGTATGATAAATTACAAATGAGGATTTCTCAACAGAAAAATCATATAATAAAGTGGAAAGAGTTTATTTCTAGAAACCCTTGAATTCACCAGTATCTTATGCTATGAATGCTACGGGCACACTACATATATTTCTGAAACTGTCAAATATATCGTTGACTGCAATTTTTTTTTCTTCAAATATGTTTTTATATGAACATATGCTCTAATCAAAATAATGAATTGGTTTTTTTTTCATAATACTGGTACAAGGCACTATTTGATTATTTAATCTAGTTTCAAGTGATCTTCAATAAAGAATCACATCATTTCGAACTGCACTTTTTCATTGCTGATTCGAAAATGAGAATCACAGGGTTCCTGCTACTAGAAAAATAAAAAAATGGCTTATGTTCAAAGAATTTTTGGTCATTACTGTCTAAGTACACCAATTGAAAAAAATGTTCGTCCCATGATATTGACTGTTTGGAGACTTGATTCACATCTTGAAAAATATTTTTTGTCAAATCGTAATCAGTGATTTTTTACGAATATATGTTGATGAAATATTCGAGACACAATTTTCAATATATTTTCGAATTCACATGCAGATATCAAATGAGCATTCGTTGTAGAACTTCAGAAATGATTTCCTCACCATTTAATCAATTCAACATAGCACAATCTGACAAATTTATGTGAAATGTGCCAGTGTGTGATGGCATAAATCAAATTTTCCAGCACTTTCTGCCGGAGAACAAAACAAGAACAGCAATAAATTCCTTCCCATCACGAGCATACACACTCATTGACCTTTATACATATAATAAGATTCAACAAGCGCTGAGTATTATGATTAACGTAAAAAGCCGACGGAATTCTGGGTTACGTAGACACTTACGCCGATGTTTTTTTCCGATAAAGAATTTCTAACACGTCGATTGAACATTTGTGTTCGATTGATGAACTTTCTTATGTTATTCCGGTTTTTTATGAACCAGAAAATGGATACGAGATGAGTGTAGGAAATGTTAACTGAGAGAAACTGAAGAAGCCATGCCATATGTGACGGAAATAATACTTTCATTGAACAATGTAGGTCAGATTGACCTGAAAAAATCTGGATCTTATTCGAAACTTCCTGAGAAATTCAGGTCGAATATTTGAGTTTATTGGGTACGCCAAACTTTTCACCTGGGTATTTAAACAATATCAGTTACTCGTCTTTTGTTCGATGTAGAAATTTATTTTTGTACATGTACTGTGAATCAAATAAAATCATCGAAAAAAATATTATGATATCTATGTCAGCTGTTAGCACTTGTGACTTTTTTCATTCTCATTTGCATGAAAACAATCAAACGTTGAATTGTAAGACCTCGCTAATCTTAAATCTTGACAATAATGGGTATTCACTCTTCCAAAATCAAATGAATTTTTGAAGTGAATTAAATAATTCTGCGATTGAATAAAGATTCATCCAACTTCATCAATAACATTTTATATTATTGATTTTGCCTTAATAGTTTTAGACAGCGAAAAAAATTCACTTATTTCTGCTTATAGAGCTTCGATCTTGAATGATAAGGAAAACTGAAAATGAAAATTTATGAAATGTCTACCCATTTTTCGAAAATAATTATAATAATAGTTTTATTAACACCAAAATTATACATAGCATCAATTTATTATTCTGCAAAGTTGTGAATCAACATGAGAAAACGGTAACATATTAAAGCCATACGGTCATGCGTTGAATTTTTTCCAACCCAATAAAATAATGGAATCATTTCTGAGTATGATGTTCTTTATGAATAAAATGATATAATTTTGTTGTCGCGGAAATATTCGTAGTTTTTCGAAGGATTGCTACGAAAAGGTCCTGAAGGAACATTTAGTAATTTTGTTTTATAATTGGCGGTTCAAACCGTCGATTAGTGATAATGGACAGTTTTTCGGTCACAATAGACACCTTGAACTGTCGATTATGAAGAAAAATCATTGTGGCATATCAGCACCTTTACAAGTTGCAGATTTATAGCAACTTATATCAATTCTTATTTTTTTCTTGGAAGGAATATATAATGTAATTGTGTTATACTGTTTGGAACCTTTGGTGTAGTGATGTATATTACTGGAGTTTTTTCCCAACAACAAACAGTTATTTTAATACCTTGACATGTGTTTCGATCACCAATTGATCATCTTCAAAAGGAAGATCAAACCGAAGATATTCCTCTTGAAGTTCTTCCCAACAACAAACCGTTATGTCAACACTTCGACATGTGTTTCAATCACTCGGTGAACAAAACACGTGTCGAGGTGTTAAAATAACGGTTGGGTGTTGGAAAAAACTTCAGTAATATTCAATATATAATGTGACAAGAATATATCAACGTAGAACGAGACATCATGGTTCCAAAACCCTTTTCTCTTTTTTGGTGTTCATCTAATCACGTGAATTTATTCATTTCATTATATTTCTAAATTTCGCATAATTTTCTTTATTGAGTATCCAAAATGAATATTAAAATCATCAATTATTCTCAAGTATTTGTTTTGCAGCAATTCGTATTTTTTTATGAATGAATTGCATATTCCGACTGGAAATGATTTGAAATTTTAAAAGGGGAGAAGAAGAAGACCATACAAATATTTTTTCAGAATTTCAGATATTCACTTTTAATATTCTCGTTTTCATCCCACACTTATCATCTATACAAATACAAAAAATATTTCCAATAAAGTTCCTTGTTTCATCGTTTTTCGAATAATATTTGGGAAATGATTTCCACCTATAACATTATTAATATCATTCCTCAAGTACAGTGAATTCGAGAAAATATTATTTTGTAATTTTTATTCGTATAAGTTGTATCATTATTTTCACATTCAATTCAATCAGCACAAGTTTGAGTTAAAAAAAATTGTTTAAAATCTGTTTTTCCGTTAGTCAGTACTGAGTAGGAATTCCAAATTATTTGATATGAACAATATTTCAGAAGCTTGAATTACCGAACAATTAGACTTTTTTCTTCTTGATTATTTTTCAAGGTCATCCAGAACATACTTCGGATAAATGTTGCCATTTCCACTTGTTTTCTAAATTAAGAGGAACTAGCCATTTTGGATCTATTTCTGAAATAGTACCTGGGTTATTGATTTTTTGATAAAAAAAATCACTTTCAAAAACAATCATAGTTTTATTTCTTAGCAAGTTCACTTATCCACTTTGAAGATAGAAGAAATATGGACAATTTTCTCCAGAAACAAATCGGGTAATGCTGTTTCGTTGAAGTTTTTTAGTTTTTTATTGTTTTTGGAAAAAGATTTTCGAATAAGTGAAAACTCTTTCAGCTATTTCGTTTTCACTCAATTCATGTGAACTCTATTCTATGTCGAAATTCACCAAAGTTGGAAATTTCACATCGACATCTCGATTTTTTGAGAAATTGGGTATTTTCTTATCCAGGATAGTTTAACGGTGGAATATTCAAATAAAAAATAGGGATTGAGTTACGAGAAGAATTATTGATTTTTGAGATTATTCCCACTGATACAAAGTCAAATCTGATGTTTTCCTTATATAATTTATTTTCCTTAAATGCTGAGAATCAAAACTATTTTTGGGTAATTTCTGAAATAGAGCTCCTATGAACTACTTAGTATTCGACAGTTACAAGTCTGCATGTAATTAATCAAAACGATCGAATAGAGTTTTCCTAATTTCAAACTATCATTGTGCAAAAACATTCAATTGATGGGTTTCAGGAAAGTTGGGAACATTTCGTTTGATGTGTTGATAATCTCGTTATTGTCTAGAGCTCCCTTGTCGGTTTGGTCGTTAATCATAGTCGGGAGACCGAAATCCACTAATCTATCACTTATTTGCATATCTCAATTCAAAGTGCAAAGAGACTGTCTTTCATCTCAATTGCGACAGTAATGTATTATCATTTGTGAATAGTGAATGAGTTGATTCAGAATATTGGATTCTATCAAAGAAAGGTGAAAATATGTGAAAAATACTTATCGGTTGGAAACGCATGAATCAGTTGGACTAATTACATGCTGTTTTTGAAATCCAGTCTGTCATCTCGCTGATATAATTTTCATTCCCGAAATGAAGGTTTCAATCCAATTATGTACTTCGAGTACCACTGATTTTCAATGTAATTATTGAAGAGTTAGTTTCGAAGAGAGAATATTTTTACCACAAGATGATTTTCATTTTTCGAAATTCATATTGAACTTATCACGCGTTTTTTATATTTTCATAATACTATTTTTTTATTTTAACAGGTTGTAGATGGAGCTGAAGTCGTATTGTCAGGTGGTTCCAACAAGGACGGTGGACTGAACATTGGCTTGTCTCTCAGACCTACCAAAGACGGAGTTGAAGAGGGCCGCAAGAAAAAGAATAAGGGAGGCGACGGCATGAATGCAATTATTGCTGCTGTTGTGATGAAAGTCGCTTTATTGAAAGCTCTTGCATTCAAGGCATTGGTTTTGCTGGTAGGAAAGGCACTGCTCGTGAGCAAGGTAAGAAAATGTTGTCAAAGCGATTTTTATCCTTGATCTGATATACTAGATACTTATAGACTCGAACTAGAATAGAATACACTAGCACAGGCATTACTAGTTATATTGAATGCAAATAGTACCAGAGCTGATCAAATGATGAAAACTATTATTCAAATACATATATCAAATATGTATTCCACGTACGTTTCGACGTATATCTACGTCTTTTTTGAGGCTGAAATGAATTATTAGTGCTGAGAATATGAAACATATGAAAGCTCCAAAAATCAAATCTAACGGAGCACATTATGAAGATCCAAATAATTAAAAAAAGTTTCGTTGTTTCATTCTTTAATACATCATCAGTTCCATATATTAGGCCCCAAATATGTATTGCTGTCTTGAAAAACACGTGAGTACTTACGCGTCGAAACTCCTGCATTTGCTGTTCTTATTTTTTGCACCTCTCTCAAGAAACAGGCTGAAGAGAACAAAATTCGGGCTGGCAGAGAGTGACCAAATGGAACCTAAAATAACGAATGGTTCGTTTGATACCGTGGCAGACATCATCAGTGTATTTGCCTTCACTACGAGGAAGAAGGTTATATTTTGAAGGCTTTTATTCTCTTCAATTGTCACTCCAGCCGTGGAAGCCTATATTTTTATAACGTAGACTGAAGTTCAGTTGAAAAATGATCGTTAAAATTTAACAAATTCAAAGTGAGAACCTTCAAGTCACAAAAAATTCGTGATGATTCTATGAGTTTTCAGCATAACGGGTTTGTTTTCCTATCTACATCTGTATTTTTTCAATCTTCATTGAATGAATCGAAAACTCCATAATAAAGCTGGCGTTTATGGAAAATTATCAGTAGATTATTGAACAATGAACAAACTGGACACAATTTAATGTCGATTAATTGTTGAGGAATGTTAGTAAATCTGCCATGAAATGACATATCTGTTCCATGGAGATAGGATGACTATGACTATTTGCTCATTTTTGTTCTATATTCAGTCGATAATTTTCCTGTTATATATTTATTTAGAACGGTACAGCTTTTTCATTGCATGAATTCCTGTATTCAGAAAATCCTTCACGTGTCATTGTTCGTTTGTCAAATAATTGAATTTACTAAGGACCACAAAAATAACATTTGATATTTTGAAGGTGACTTCCAAATCATTTTTGTTTGCTAAAATTGAATCATTCATTAAAACGCATTTTAGTCCCGTCAACGTTAAAAAAGCATACATGAAACTCGTTTACAGCATATTTACCCAAAGTTAACGCACTTATTTTGATGCAATCAACTGCTCCAGTTGAAATCGATATCACAGTGTATTATTATAGTGTATTTTTATATAATATAAAGAAAATATCAATCATCGGTAATTAATTCCAACGTTCACAAATACGAGTTTAAGACGATTGAGTGTGTCGAAATATAATTGAAGATATACGTGTAAAAGATATTTTAAAATTTCCCGAGGTTGCTCTTCTCGTTTTTATACCTATATTCAAGAGTATCACTGGGAAATGAACATGCAGTAAAATAGTTATGGATCAGCAATTGAGTTTTGAGAAACGTTTCAAAAAGTAATATCGTTATCGTGATACTGATTATATCAACTTTTTGAAAACTCGAATCAGAAAACGCAATGACAAGGTTCATAGTGCAAATTTTTTCTCCTAATATAATGTTTCCGTTTGAATTTCAAAATACTCGTCTGACTTCAAAACCTCCGAAGTCATCGTAAGTGAATTGATTTTCCACCAAGATTTTGACAACCACTACTTACAATAAATTGATGGATGTAGCCTTTATTACGTGGTAGAAAATCATAATGCAGAAAAGACAATTTAAACTTTCTATATTTTTTACCACTTTTATTTTTAACTAACGTTACTGCAGTTTCGGTCAATAAGGACATTTAAGTTTGGAAATGTCCTTATAAGACGAAGCTGCAGTAACGTTAGCTTCAAATAAAAGTGGTTAAAAAAGTAGAAAGTTTCAATTCTCTTTTCTTCATTACCACTACTTATCTCGTCGCAAAAATGATTTTTCTGGAACAAAATTAAAAAAAAATATGAATATATTATCATTAACACTAGCAGAATTCAGTTATTCTGTTAATAATTTGATTTACAAAAAATTAAAATTTACATTCTTTTTTCTCAAAGCCCACTTGAACTAAAATTATAAAGTGGGTTCTCTATTGGATTTGTCAATCTGTTTGTAACCTCTATATTGGTAAATGAATAAATAATGAATGTATTTTACTTTTTTCCAGTTGGCTCTTGTCTTAGCAGTCGTCATTGGTCTCAAGAAACTTCTCAGTTCCGAGAAACACGTGACATACGAAGTTGTAGCCCACCCTCATCATGATCACCATGAACATATTGATCATGGCCATTCTGGAGGTGGATATGACGCCCATGGAGGCAGTGGTTGGGGCAGAAATTTTGATGCTCAAGCAGCTCAAAATTTGGCGTACAGCGCCCAAATACCGGCAAATTGATTCCAGTTGATTTTATGTGATTTTATTTCAACTTACACGCACCATATTGGTGCTGACCATTCGTTTTAAGTAATTTATTACACTAATTTATTGAATTTGCGTTATGTTGTTTCTGTTGTTCCAATAAAAAAATACTCATTGTTGTTACATACCAGGTGGTTTTCCTTTGGTTTCCTTTTGAATGAATTCTTGAACAGAGAGAATATTTTCATTCAACGTCACAGGATGAAATGATTTCCCTCAAACCATCATGAATTGTGGACGACTTCAAGAATGCTAATGGTATAGAAATCGAAGTAGACAAATACACAACGGTTCATTTCATACATCCCAAAAGAAAAAAAATGAGGGCTTTTCTCAAATGAGAAAAATGAAAATATTGTGGAGTTTGTGACCAGAACTCTTGTTCTGGTCAGTATGAAATGGATCTCGTTAAATATAAACCTAGTTCACCCCAAGTTCACTTGAGAATGGTTTAGTATTTTTGTTAAGTGCAACTTTCATTTGTATAATCACCAAACTAATTGAAACAGATTTAAAAAAACGATTCCATTTCAACATACTCGTATGTTCAAGTCAATTACAAAAGCTAATGTCGATTGGACAATTCAGCTACAGATATATCCAACATAATGTGACAAATAATTTTTTGCCAATTTTTCTGACGAAACAAACGAATTCACTTGTTTTAAATATTTCATAAGATTTGAATAAAGATGATTCTTTCAGTTTCAACGATTTGTATAGTTCATTCAAAACGAAACGAGTTTCATTATCAGTAACTAAAAAGATTATTGATCTCATTGACTTCACATAATATTATTAATGAGTTCATTCATCGAAAAAAACATAATCAAAATAATATTTCTTCCTTGGATGTAAGATGTCTGAATCGGCTATCAACTCGATTCTTCCATTGCTGAAAATTTTCATAAACATGCTTACCCGCGACGCCAGAAAAATCAGCATACATCTTGTCTATTTCTCAAGTTGAAAATCTTAATCTAGGATATCATCAAAAAATATCACCGTACCGAGGTTTGAGATGAAGAGCATTGTGATCAGAGTGTGATTGTGGTTATGTTAGGATGATAGAAGAATCGGAAGGTTTGGAAAATTTCATCACAGTGATTCCATAGTAACCCTATGGTGGAAAAGAAATGAGATAGAAAGTATATTGGTGCAACAGAGTACCATGATTGGTACCATGGATAAAAAAATCTCTTCTGATGTATTGATTGGATGCGAGTAGTGGCAATATCCTCAGTGGCTGAAACAGATTTTAGAAAATTAGTCTCATTCTAAAATTATGTGTTCAACTTCTTTGAAATGAGTGGAACAGTTTTCAGATAGATCGAAAAACTTTTAAAATATTGAAAAATTTCGAAAATGGTTGACTAGCTTATGATATTAAGAGTATTTTCAGTAGAAGAATCAAATTGAGAATTGAAATCGATTGAAAATATTTATTTGATGACAGACAGAAACGATATTTTGTAGAACCTAAACTCGCGCTGAGTTGTCATTGAATATTTCAAGTAACTTATTGTTTCACGGTATAAGCATAACATCGATAGAAGGTTTCAAACGTTTCTTTGAATACTACGGATAGATTTTGAAAATCGTAGAAATATCAGAGAAATACTAGGAAAATATCTCAAGTCAAAGCGATGCAAAAATAAATGTAAGCATAAACAATTTGTGCCANTTGAAAATCGTAGAAATATCAGAGAAATACTAGGAAAATATCTCAAGTCAAAGCGATGCAAAAATAAATGTAAGCATAAACAATTTGTGCCACTACCGAAAGATGGAATAAACAATGTGTAATTCTGAAAAATAATAAAAGTTGTTCCTGAAAGGAAAGTCCTGGATCGTATTGTTCTTCTGTGCAGTTGGAAATTTCGCCTAGATTTTGTCGAAAAGTAATCTCCGGTAATGTGGATTCTAGTGTGGTAATAGTGGGTGATAGCTTTTCCAGAAAATCGACTGTGGAGTGGGACGCAAATTGTTCAGCTAGTAGATTTGCTTCTTTATGGCTGTTGTTGCAATTGAATAATCCGCTCGTGTTAGTAATGGAAAAGTTGATCTCGTAAAGTTTTGATTTGATTGAAAAACAAAATAGCATTTCTCAATAATCACATTGCGGCGATTCCTATCCGATGTTCACCGAACAAAAAGGTTCTAGGAGTGTCCTCAAAAAGAGACTAACGAAAACTTCATCTTATCCAGAAACGAGCAACAAAACGAAAGAAAAACTTGGAGATAACTGAACGAAGGAAAATTCTAATGAAAATTTGGATTTTTGAAGCGATTCCATGAGAAACAGAAAAAAATCACGGGAACACAAGCATCATCAAATTTACTGAAAATTGAAAGTAAAAGAAAAGACCAGATGATCACCAATTTAGTTAGGGATCCAACTGAGCATGTTATGGAACAGGGCCGGGAGGACTGGAAAGTAGTCAAAAAAAAAGATTCAGAATAAAACGTATGGTTTATGGTGAAAATGCTGACCTCACTATCAAAGGAATACCACAACTGGAATCACTGCACGTATGCAGAGTAAATAGTAATACCACATCCAAGAAACTAACGAAAATTTCAAAAATTAATTTTCATGAAGTCGAATGTCAATCATTATTTGCTAGATTTCCGGATCGCCACTCTCTGTCTGAAGTGACTATTCATGAAATAAACTGTGAGCGGGCAATAAATCCTCAAACCTGGACGGCGGGAACTTGCGTCAGCGAGTGTTTTCACCTGAGACCCAAGACGACAATAGAGACTGGAATATAAAATCGATGTGATGAATATCTCCTTGAGAAAGTATAGTTTTGATGTACTTTGTGTCTCTGCACACTGGTTGAGTGAAATTGAATTGTAATGAACTTATCAAGTTATTTTTCAGCCAGTTACTACTATATATAACCACCTATTGGTGTGACACCCAAGTCAACTTGCCAAGTTGGCGCAATTTTGGTTGCGCCATTTCTTTGATACTCAATTCTTAGAACTGGAAAAATTGAAAGCTTGTAGTGAATTATTGTATGCAGGTCATCTACTTGTTTTTGAGAGAGTTCACTGTGCAGCACAATATTAGAAACAGAAGGAGTTCAAATTTCGCATGCCTTCTACAAATGGTAACAGAAAACATAGATATGAATGTTTTCGAGTCAAATCCTGTTTTTATGAGTGAAATTGATTATCCAGGTATTAATAGCTTGACACCACGTGATAGGTCGAATATACAAGGACGCTGAAGCTGAAGGGAGCCAAAGAAAAATAAATCAGAAAAATTGTTCTGAGAAATTCTGAGATTTTCCAAAAAACGAAATACACCTTGAGATTTACATCTAACTATATCTATGCTACATCGTGCAAGATCGTGTTGGAAGGGGAGGTGGTGTGGCCGTATACTGTGAAACAAATATTGAACTGACAAAAATTGAATTAGAATTTAATGAAACTGAATTAGAACATATGTGGGTGAAAGTGAAAGTAAATAATATTCGAATAGGAATAGGTTGTTTATATCGACCACCTAATACAAGGTTTTCTGACTGTATTAATGTTTGAGAAAATATACTTCCTGCGGCAATACCTCTTGTTGACCTTATTATGTTAGTTGAAGACGTGAATGTAAATTTACTTGACACTACGAATAAAAGCACTACTGATCTTCAAAATTTTTTTCAAGCTCATAACCTAACAGTACTAAATAACGAACCTACAAGAATAAGTAATATCAGTAGTACCCTCATTGACATAATATCATCGAGTAATGTTGATATGAAGTAATACTTGCACAATAAATGTTGATGGAATATCTGACCATTGTTTGGTATATACGGAGTTGACAAGTGAGGAGCATAAACAAAAATGCTTTTATAGAACATATCGCGATTATAAAAACTTCAATTATGATGAGTTGTTTGTAGACTTACTAAAAATGCCCTGGTATGACCTTTATTTATTGAATGATATACATGAAATCGTCTTTCCTTCAATACATATATGATTTCCATATTTGAAGTGGATGCACCAACAAAAACAGTAAAAATTAGTAAACCAAAAGCAACATGGCTTACAGACCCTTTACGAATGATGATTCGGAATAAAAATAATGCGATGGGAAAATTTGAAAGAACAAAAAATAGGAATGATTGGGACAATTTTAAGAATTTGAGAAATATGGTAACAACATCAATAAGGAGAGAGAAAAAAGGGTATCTTGACTTTATTCATAACCAACTTGATTCCAAAAAGTTTTGGAATACTCTTCATCTTTTTGATATTGTCAGTAACAAAAAGTATAGTTCTATACCAGAACATCTAAAACTGCCAGATAAAATTAATGAGCATTTCATAAAATCAGTTGAAAACATTGTGAATAAGCCCTCTAAAAAAATATTAGATCACTTTAAGACAAATAGTTTTAACGAAAACATATGCTTTAAATTTATACCACTAACAGATGAGCAAACTTTCTCAATAATAAACAATATCAAATCAAATGCCACTGGTTCTGATGGAATCTCCATAAAAATGATCAAACTATGTACACCTTACTTGATTCCGATAATCACTTTTATGGTAAATAAATGTNATGGAACATTTTTGAGCTATCTGAAGAGAAGGTGGACAACCGTTTTTATTATTTTTGCAAAATGTCCCGCCAGTCTTCGCTCCTCCTCCGATGTCCCCGGATCTAAAATTATTCAGGACTACATCAAAAAGTGTATCTATGTACGTGAATGAAATAACGACCAAGAATTTCAGGTACGAATCCACATTGGTGTGGAAGAAATACAAAATAATCTGCTAATATTTAGCATCTTTTCCAAAGAAATTTACTTCGAAACTGCGGGCGAGCTACGTAATATTGCTGAAGGGTGATATTCATTGCGAGTATTTCTCTTAAACTATATTACGTATTTTTATTTTTGTAAGTGTAGTTTCTCATTAAACTAACATTTTCAATTGTTATAACTGAATATTACTAACTAATAATACAAATTGAATAAAAGCTAAAGAAAAAGATATTTCACAAAGTAAAATTTTGTTTCAATAATAATAACTATAGTTGTTTTACCAATAGGAGTAAATTTTTTGGCTATGATGTCCTGAGATAATCCTTTGAAAAATCTA